CCCAGGAGCTGTCTGTTGACACGAGTGCAAATTATCAGACGATTGTTTTCCAACGGGGCACTTCCCACAACGAACAAACATTATTGTAGGGACCTCTGAACAGGGAACTTGGAGGGAGGTTGTCTTGCAACATCGTTGATGCGTCTCGGGTTTACACTGGTCCTCCTCCTCCTCCTCCTCCTCCTCCTCTTGCCACTCTGATTGCTGCCCGTGCTCCTGTCTTTTCCGCCAGGAACTCCACCTTTGCCTGCTGCTGCTCCTCCTCGTCGTGTGTACCCTCATTTAGAAAACTATGGAACCTCTCACTGTTCCTCCTGCTTCTCTTATTAACCCTCGTATTCATCATCATCATCATCACCACCATCATCACCACCACCACCACCACCACCACCACCACCACCACCACCATCATCATCATCATCATCATCATCATCATCATCATCATCATCATCATCAGTATCATCATCATCATCATCATCATCATCATCATCATCACCATCATCATCATCATCATCATCATCAGCATCATCATCATCATCATCATCATCATCATCATCATTATCATCATCATCATCATCATCATCAGCAACATCATCATCATCATCATCGTCATCGTCAGCATCATCGACATTATCACCATCATTAGCATCAGCATCATCATCGTCGTCATCATCATACTCATAATCATCAACATCAGTATCATCATCATCATCATCATCATCATCATCATCATCATCATCATCATCATCACCATCGTAACCATCGTCATCATCACCATCATCATCAGCATCAGCATCATTACCATAACCAGCAACAGCATCAGCGTCATCAGCATCATCAGCAGTCTCAGCATCCTCATCTTCAGCATCATGATCATCCTCATCCTTATCCTCATCCTGATCATCACCATCACAACCACAACCATCGTCACCATCTCCATCACCATCACCATCAGCATCATCATCATTATTAGCATCATCATCATGATTACCATAACCATCATCAATTTCATCAGCAGCAGCATCATTCGCATCATCATCATCATCACCGCCATCACAATCACCATCACCATCAGTATCATAATCATCATCAGTCGATCAATCAATCTATCAATCAACCAAACAATCAGCAGCAGCATCAGCATCATCATCAGCATCAGCATCATTAGAAGCAGCAGTATTATCATCGTCGTCCCATCTTTCCTCCTCTCCCGTCCTGCTCCCCCCATCTTTTTTCCTCTCATGATTCACCCCCGTTGTCCTTCCACTCCTTCTCCTCCTCCTCAATCATCTCGGGCCCCCCTGCAGCACCCCCGTTCACGTCCACTACATCTTCCCAAGTCAGGACTCGATTCGAGCCTCCAAGAACACCATCTTCCGACGAAGACGACGTCGGTGGGAGACGAGGATGACAGCGACGACGACGACGCCAACGATGCCAAGCTCCTGCAAGGTGTCAGACGCTGCCAGCTTGAGGTCTCTCTCTATATATGTATATTAATATATATAATATATATATATATATATATATATATATATATATATATCCTTGCGTGCCTGCTGTGCCGTCTCACGACCGATCGGCTGCACGGCGATCCAAGCGCGCAGGCGCCGTTCGTGCGGCGCTGTGGGGGCAAAGCTGGGTCCGCCATCGCAGAAGCAAAGAAGAACGCCATAAGCATAAACTTCTGGCGCTCCGCGCGGATTGCTCGGATCGGCGCCGGACCCCCCTTCCTTGCGCGCGGAGCGCGCCAGGGGCGGAGCTGGAGGCGCCGCCGGGGGGGCCCCGTGCGGATGTGAGCGTTTTTATTTTCGGTGTTTCGACATTGGGCGGAGAGGGGGGCTTGCCGTCGCTCGGACGTCCACTTCCCGTGCATTTATCGGTTTCGTGCGTGTTTTTTTTACTCGATGGTCCAGGATGGTCCTCGAGGGTTCTCGCCGAGAAAAAATGCACACGCCCGAGCGATGCCGAGGGGGTGGAGGGGGGGTCTGGCTCCAGACCTCTGCTCAGTGCGCCTGTTTGCAAGAGTGCTGCCCCTGGGGGAGACTCCACCCGCCCGGAACAGGCGCCAAAGAACAGCGCGAAGGTCTACTCCAAAAGGGGAGGGGGGGGGGGGACGGAGGGGGAGCCCACGGCGACCGGCAGAACAATGAATGAAAAACGATCACAATCCCAAAAATCCGAGCGGAGCGCCAAAAGTTGATGTTTATGGGTTTTTCTTCTCTGACATCAGGCGACTGCCCCATCTCGTACTCTTGCGGTGGGGAGCTTGTTCTCGGCGTGTTACGGCGGCGGCCTCGGAGGCACGCTGCCCTCGGTTGTCTTCCAAGGGGGCACTCCCCACAATGAATATTTAAACTTGTAGGGGCCTCTGATGACGAAAGAGCCTGGGGGAAGGGTGTCTTGCAACATCGTTGACTGCGCCTTGGGTTTGCACTGGTCCTCCTCCTCCTCCTCCTCCTCCTCCTCGTCCCCCTTTGACTGCTGCCCATGCTCCTCC